GCTTCTCTCTCTTCACTGCGGAACGAGGAACGCACATGACCGAAATTCCGGCATAATTCAGTAGCTCCTTCAAAGGCACGTACTGGTTCACAGGCGGCTGAATATGAGCCAGAAATGTGCCCGGGTGGCCACAGCCAGCAGCATCCTGGCTTGTATCAGAAATAGTGTGGCCAGCAGAACTAAGGAAGTGATTACGTCCCTGTACTTGGCACTGGGGAGGCCGCACCTCAAATACTGTGTTCAGTTTTGGGCCCCTCGCTACAGGAAAGACGTTGCATTGCTGGAACATGTCCAGAGGAGAGCCACAAAGCTGGTGAGGGCTCTGGAGCACAAGTCTTACAAGGAGCAGCTGAGGGAACTGGGGTTGTTTAGCCTGGAGGAGGCTGAGGGGAGACCTTATCGCTCTCTACAACTGCCTGAAAGGAGGCTGTAGAGAGGTGGGTGTTGGTCTCTCCTCCCAAGTAACAAGTGATAGGACAAGAGGAAACAGCCTCAAGTTGCACCAGGGGAGGTTTAGATTGGACATCAGGAAGAATTTCTTCACCGCCAGGGTTATCAAGCGTTGGAACAGGCTACCCATGGAAGTGGTCGAGTCCCCATCCCTGGAGGTATTTAAAAGATGGGCAGACGAGGTGCTCAGGGACATGGTTTAGTGGTGAGATGGCAGTGTTAGGTTTATGGGTAGACTTGATGATCTTAAAGGTCTTTTCCAACCTAAACAATTCTATGATTCTGTGAAAGCCAGTGAGCGGTATCTCATTTTTCTTATAGCTGTTGTAAGCCTTAATCAATAAAATCAGTACTAACAACTCAAAAGGATGGATACAATTGGCAAAAATTCCGCAAGTTACAATGTGACTTGGAATTTATTAAAGTGAACCCCTCAAGTATGTGACTCTCCATGTTTTAAAATTGCAGTGTGCAGATCTCTTGGTTCACATATTTCTACTCACCTTGCATTGGGCTAGCTAGTGAGCCTGCATGCATAAGAACTTCTGCTGAGTCCATAAACCCATTGAAGCTGATTCTGGCAACTTTAAAACTTTGTGTGTGCAAGATAAATTTAAAACAAACAAACAAACAAAACACACCATACCAATGGTATTTGCTAGAGCAAGGATTATGTACATGAGCAAGGACAGCAAGGTTGGATCACTACCACACTTAATGCAGTACACTTCCAGGTGCCAGGGAAGAGAGCATCTTCAGGCTTAAGGATCCCTGTCATTTCTCCTAGAAAGGTTCCATTTTTGCTGTGGCTGAGCTGCTCTTCTCAAGTGTTCAGTCACTTCAGGGACTTTTAAGGACTGAGAGTAGATCATCAAGAGCATTTAGCTGTCTAGATCCCCTTGGTTTCACTGGAAAGCAGACTCTGAAGCACTTCTGAGGCAGTGAGGGGTTTTGCCATTCAGAACACACTAATTTTTTGTTGCTTAATCACAATGTACTCTTCCAAGTTAGTGCAGAGTTGAGTGTGTAACACATTCCTAATAATAACAATAATATATACACTAGAAGTATTTTGCCTTTCATTGTTGGCACATATTTAATTCCAAACCATATGTGACCTTTCATTATCGAGTAATTCAACTCCTGGAAATACTGCTTAATTCCTACTCCAACAATAAATTTGAAGCACTGATAATTTTACAGTAGTAACTGGGCATGATTATTTAAATCATTACCAAACCACCCCTCTTTCTTTTCTTCCACCCCATCACCTACATTCCAGCTTCGTGTTACACTGCCAGTCTGACCACAAAATTCATGGTGAGGAAATGGAGGATGGGCTTCTCTGCTATCAAAGTGGTGCTACCTCTCCTTTCTTAGCGTGGCAGGTACATATGTTTTATAACAACTACAATGCATATTTCTGCTTTTCTTATTATTGCCTTTAAAAAATTAGACAAATGTACTTAAATTAGTAATAGGTAAACCTTAATTTATTCCATAAATATGATATGATTTTTAAACATAGTTAGCTAAAATTATATATCTCAGTGGGTATTTGAGCTCATACAGATAGATATTTTGAATGCATTGAACATATTATCTTAATGACAGCAATTATGCAGAAATCAGAAAAATGCTCCATCTTGCTGTGTAATAAATCATGTTCTGTTACAGGGGTACCATATAAGGATACACCACCTTTCTTTCAACTCAACTTGAATGGAAAAAAAATAGTATGGACAATTTCTATGTATGAGTCACCTCATAGTTT